GTGGAGCTGCAAGGCCGGTGGTGGTGGCCGGGACCGTTGGGGGCGGGGTGTGTGGCTTTATGACACACTTCCGGTGATGTCAGGGGGTGTGTCATATGCTAATGAGTTATGCTAATGAGTTCCCCTAGCTCTTTTTCTACGAAACGACCCCTGCACTGCTCTATTTGCTCAAAGTGGAGGCCATGCATATCAGGAGGTTCATGGGTAGCACAATCTCCCCTTACACATGGTTTGAACCCTAGTGTGTCATATGCTAATGAGTTATGCTAATGAGTTCCCCTAGCTCTTTTTCTACGAAACGACCCCTGCACTGCTCTATTTGCTCAAAGTGGAGGCCATGCATATCAGGAGGTTCATGGGTAGCACAATCTCCCCTTACACATGGTTTGAACCCTAAAAATATAATGTCTGAAAAGGGATATAGTCCAACTTCATTCTGACCTCTTACAATGTCTTTACAGTATTACACCCTAGAGAGCAACTGACTGAAACTGGAAGTTGTCAAGCAATTATGTACACTTATCAGGCGTAAATCATAGTTCAGGTGCTTAATTGGGCTATTAAGATATGCATAATTGGGCACCCAGTGGCTGAGAGTCAGTGCAACATGACTAAGGTAAACAGTGCAACGGAAAGAACCACAGAGAGTCATTTTGCTTTTTGTGCTATGTAACCTGTATAAAACCCCCACAACAACACGCCTCACTTACACCCCACGGATGCCACCCTCCACTCTGTAAATACAGTGAGCTTTGTTTGGAGCAGGTGTCTAAATGCAAGGACTTCATCAGGCTTACTTTGACAAAAGGAACTATTTGTAGGTATTTATACCCTACTCCTCCTCCCCCAAGCACTTTACAACCTCCCTTCCCTGCTTCCCATTTACCCTCACCACAAGCACCCTGTGAGGTAGGTTAGGCTGATAGAGACTGGCTCAAGGTCACCCAGCAAGCTTCCATGGCCAAGTGGGGACTCGAACCTGGGCTTCTGCTTAAAGCAAAGCAAGGAAGATATCTAGGGGCTTTATTTATAATTTGGGGGGAAGGGGTGGCATATTACTTTCAGCATTTTCACAAGGCTTGTGAATGGTAGGGTACAGGCAAGCCAAAGACTTCATTCTGGGGTGGTGGTGGGGGGAACCCAGTGTGTGCCTGACCAAAGTGATTCAGTGAAAGGACTGCTTCTGTACTCTTAAGAATCGTGCAGAAGAGGGAAAGTTGCAATTTTTCTTTTTCCTGAATGACCAGCAGCAAATGGCAAAATTCCCTTTGCTGCACTACTCAGTGTTAGAGGGATCTACCCTCTTTCACTTCTAAGCCCCTGATGTCTGACTGGGGCCAATATGCCTCCTCAGGACATGGAAAGACACAGGCAGCCCGGTAGGATTTAGGGTTGCTGGCCCTCAGAAACGGGTGTGTGTGTGTGTGTCTGAAACTCCAGTGTCACTTCTGGTCACATGATGGAAGTGATACCACCTAGAAATCTGGGCTATCCCCAGCGCCTTGTGCAACGTCGTGATGTCACTTCCCTATACTGGCCGGAAATGACTGTGGGGCATCCCATGGGGCTATAGTCGCCAGCTCTGAGTTGAGAAGTACCTGGAGATTTTGGGGGCGGAGCCTGAGGAAGGCGGGGTCTGCGGAGGAGAGGGGGAGACTGCAGTGGGGCCGAATGCCACAGAGTCCACCGGCCCACACGGCCGCTTCCTGCAGGGGAGTGGATCTCTGTCTCCTGCAGATCGGTTGTTATAGCGGGAGATCTCCAGTCCCCACCTGGAGGCTGGCCGCTCGGCCCCTTCCCATTTTGCTCCTACATCTCCACCGAGGAGGAGGAGCAGCAGCAGCAGTGGCGGCAGTGGTGGCAGCGGCAGCAGCCTGGGAGTGAGAGGCCGCCCACCGTAACAAGCCACCTGAGCTCCACAGTAGGATTCCAGTGGCAGAAATGACTGGGGGGAAAATTTCTGCCAACTGAATTATTTATTAGATTTTTACCATGCCCTCCCGGCCAGGCTTTCACAACAATATAAAACAGTATAATATGACAATATAATATAAAATATAAAATCCATTAGTACACAAATTCTTAAAAACCATAAATTT